GTTGTTAGCTGCCATGTGGGTGCTGGGAATTGAACCCCAGTCTTTTGGAAGAATAGCCAGTGCTCTTAACCCCTGAGCCATCTCTCTAGGCCCCGTTGTTGTTTTTATTGAGTTATATTTTTCTCAGCTCTCTTCCCTTCCTCTCCCTTCCCCTTCTACCTTCTCCCATGGTCCCATGCTCCCAATTTACTCAGATCTTGTCTTCCCCATACCTGACTTTTCTTTTTCTTTTTTTTTAAAGATTTGTTTATTTATTATATACACAGTGTTCAGCCTCCATGTATGCCCTCAGGCCAGAAGAGGGCACCAGATCACTTTACAGATGGTTGTGAGCCACCATGTGGTTGCTGGAAATCAAACTCAGGACCTCGGGAAGAGCAGTCAGTGCTCTTAACCTCTGAGCCATCTCTCCAGCCCCCATACCTGACTTTTCACATGGGTTTTGGGAATGGAACAAATGACTTGACTTGGGTATAGGGACTTTTTATAGATTTATCTTTTAATTAAGTGTATATTCTATAAGTGTTCGAGTACTGTAGTGGCAAGAAGAGGATGTCAGACCCCCCTGGGGCTGGAATTACAGGTAGTTGTGAGTTATCTGACATGCATGCTGCAAATTTAGGTACTCCTGAAGAGTAGTAATTCCTAACTGCTGAACCATTTCTCCAACTCCTGTTTTTTTTTTTTTTAAAGACAGTCTTGTGTAGCCCAGACTGGCCTTAGGATGACTTGAACGTCTCTTGCTTCTACCTTGCAATCACTCCTCAACCTCTGAGGTAACTTCTCAAACAGCTTAGGGCAGGTTGGTGACAGACTCTATCCTCCCAGATGGGAACACCTGCTCTCACAGGGCAGCTTTTCCTCTGTGGATCAGCAACACACACTAGTGAAACATGGGATTCAACTAGCATGTCCTTCTCCAGGCACTGGTTGGTGAGATAGGGCCCAGGACATTGACCTGTTCTGAGGTGATAACCTTCAAGTTGATGAAGAATCTACCTGAAATCCAGTTTAGGCTGAGTTGCAAAGGCAGATACACACAGGTGTAGATAGACACACAGCTGGAATCCAAATCCTCTCAGGAAGAACAGCAGCTGGAAATACACCCAAAGGCAGTGGAGGCTCTGCTCTGGTTCTTTTAGCATTGGGGTCTTGGGAGATCTTGACAGTGGCTTGAGGGAGCAGCTGTGGAAGGTATGTTTGGCATATACAAGGCTTCAGTTCCACCCACAGCAAAGCACAAAAAAACAAAAAAAAAGTGACTGGAGAGATAGCAAGTAGGTGTCACCTACGGTGCCAGAAACAGGTTTGAAGCATAAGAATGCCCTAGGCAGCGGGGCAGTGGTGGCACACGCCTTTAATCCCAGCACTTGGGAAGGCAGAGGCAGCGGATCTCTGTGAGTTCGAGACCAGCCTGGCCTACAAGAGCTAGTTCCAGGACAGGCTCCAAAACCATAGAGAAACCCTGTCTCGAAAAACCAAAAAAAAAAAAAAAAAAAAAAAAA